ACTTTTGGGTATCCACGTCCCCGATTGTACGTCGAATCCCCGACCCTGTCCAGGGTGGGTACACCTAGTTCCCTAACGAGGCGAGTCTTATTCTCTTGCCTAGTATTGTAACCCATGAATCAGTTGAGGAGTTGAATCTTAGTATCAGTATGTTCGTCCTTGTTCGATTGATCCAGTGTGGTAATTCTGATCCTCGATCAATTGCTCTTCAATAGTTATGTGGCCATTCGACAAGTGGCTTTTATTCGTCTTATGTCTTGTTCTGTATTTTTAGTATCATTTGCTTTTTTTAGGTTTATTTCCGTATTTTATAAAAAATATTTAGTACAAGGTGGTTTTATATCATTTTTATTGGATCTTTTGTTTTTAATATTATCTAAATGCTTTTAAAATGTATTTAAAGACAAAAATGGGTGGTGGTTGATTTCAATCACAAAAATACGTTTAAAATTAAATTTTTCATAATTAAAATTCAAAAATAATAATGAAACATAAAAACCGAACATTTATTATTCATCTAGCATTTAATGCATAATTAAATGACTTCAATTATAGCTAATAATGAAATGTATTTATGTTAATTTGGTTTCTCTATATTTAAATTTTATTTTTTATTAATATATATTTTTATTAAAATTAGGAATAAAAAGTCAAAATTTCTAAAATAAATTACATTTATCTCTAACAAATTTTTTTATTTTAGAGATTTATCATTAATTATACCATTTAAATATTTTATAATTTTATGATTCTAATATACTTTAAAAACGTTATATAAATATTATATATCATTGGTGGAACGAATAAAAAACTTATTCATTGTGTAATCAAAAGTCAAAATTTCTCAGAAAAAATTAGGTTTATCTCCAAGAGTTACTTTATTTTTGAAATTACAATGTTATTTATATTATTAAAATATTCAACAAATTTTATAAAATATTATTTTTCTTTCATAAACATTTAATTTCAAGAAATCTCAACCACAAGGGTGGTGCCTGATTGGTTTGAGCTTAGCTCCAAAGGTCAAAAGTACCGGGAGGTCCCAGATTCAAATCTAAGGAGGAATAAAAATCCCCTTGTGGCCACGGAGGTTTAAATGCGATAACTCCAGTTTATCTGCAAAGCAGGTGGTTGTCCTAAGATTAGTCGGCTCGTATAACGGGTTGGATATTCAGGTTAATAACAAAAAATCAAGAAATCTCATTAATATAAATAATAAAATATTAATTCTCTCTCCTAAGTAATCATTTTTTATAGGTTCTCTAAATTTGAAGATTTTCATCATCTCTCTCCTACTTTTCTCCATTTTTAAAGCAGATTTTGGAGAACATGTTGTAGCAAAACTCTTCAAAATCTATATTTTAGAGGATAAGATAAAGAATCTGTTTAAGCAATATAGAGAATAAATAACTGTATTTTCTTTATTTTAAAGAATCTATTGAAAATGTTCAAAAAACCAATGGCCACGGAAATCAGTGTTTTTATGTGAAACATAAAAAAAGTTTACACGGTCATAAATTATCAACAATCAAAATCTGATAGTTATCATATATGTAAATTGATATGAACAAGGGCAGACCAATTAAGCCGCAAGCGGGGTCGTGTGCAACAGATCAACTTATTTTTTGAAGTAGAATTTTTTCTGCGATATGACATGTATACCCGTTAAATTTTGAAGAGTGTTTCGGGATATTAAAAAAATACAAGATACAATTGCTAAAAAATGGGGGGAAAAAGTCAGTTGTAATCATTCAAAAAAACCAAAAAATTCTCTATAAATCAATCAGAAAACTTTTAAAGAATCACTTAAAACGATGGAATTCGACTAAGGGGACGTTTACCAAACACTTACCCGGTAAGCGTTTATCGGTAAAATTAACACTATCATTACTTGCCACGTAGGATTTTGGTCCACCAAAACGGCATCGTATGCAACAATTTACCCGGTAAGCACTTACCATGATATTGGTCCTTGTCTCACTCTTACTGGGTAAAATTCTTGGTTATTAGCCTTTACCCGGGTAAACGTTTGGTAAACGGCCCATAAAACATCTTGAATGATTTTACGGGTTTTTGATCCACCTTAAAATGCACCACTTGGCAAGAATCCCATGTTCGCCACTACATATGAAAATAATCTGTAACATCGATTTATATCTGTCTTCAATATACTTTTTTGTATTTTGAGTTTTTGACATACAAACAATTTATTTTTTTATTTTTTTTATATTCTCACGATTTTTATGTTTTTTTACTTGAAGTGATTCATATAGAGGGTATATTATCCTGACACGTGGCAGAAACCCACTTTACGGGTAGTCTTTTTAGTCCTTTTTTTGGGCCTTATTGCATACAAGATGCCTGTGAACGTGATCCGGTCTCTTTTTGGTGGTGGCACACTCACGTTTGTGCGCACTATTTAAAATATGCCCCCTCGTTAAATTAAAAAATTGCTAAAAATGCCAAATTAGAACCCTAAATTTACAATTCAGTCCATCCCATCACACACGCCACACAACTGCCCATTTGGCTTTTCCTTGTTCAGTCGTCATCACACGCCCAAAATCACGAGTGGACCATGTCCAATGACTTATTTTTAACCAAATATTCTATTTGTTTTATTTATAAAATATTCAAATTACAATAATTATAAATGCTGGAATGCGTATTTGGATCAGCTTGTGCGTATCTCGCTTAGTCTCAAGGGTACTGGATAATAGACAGGAAAATTCTAATGGCTTTGTAAGAGTTGAACGAATGGTCTCTGAGTAGGATCCTGAAAAGCTCAAGTCTTATTGTCAGTTGAGCTAACTTTAAAATGTTTATGACTACTCTGATTTGATTCGTGCTACTAAGAAGTGTTGCAGAATAAAAATCAGGACTGGCATATTAGAGATAAAAGATTGCATGGCCCAAGGCCCCTAAAGGCCTTCGCCCCTGCTTGTTAGAGCATCCATACACAGTCATTTATGCAATTGCAAATAGTTTTTCATTACATATGACATGCCACATGGTTAGAATTGAGTTGTCAGACTTTCACCTCTTGCAATTGCATTTGCATTTGCAAGCTCTATTTATATATAAAATTATATATGTGGGATTATCGTATTAATTTATATATTTATTTTAATAACTATAATATGTTTAATTAATATTTATATTTAATAAATTTTGTAGTGGGAAACACTTTTAAAAGTGTAGGTGAATTACAGGTAATTGCAAAAGGAATGTAGATGGTCTTATGGGTTGTTTGTTTACCTCTTAATAGTTTCATTAAGAGACAACTTCTGAATCGTTAAAAGGTGAATCTTGTTTGACAAAAAAAAGTGTCTCTTAATAGTTCTAAAACTCTTTGAATGATTTTGTATCATGAGTCTTCCTTAACCATTCATTGCCCTAATTTCATTGTAAACAATTATATTTCAATTTGCATTATATCATAAGAGTCTTTTAATCATTCTATTTCTGACTACTTAATCATTTTGCACCAAACCATTCAGCAACTGTCAAACAACTTCTTAAAGATAACAAGATACTCTTAACAACAGTGAAACACAAAAATAACAATTATAAACTTTTGAAATTGAAAATAATTTCTTAATAATTTATATTATATTTGATAACTAATTTAAATTTCCAAAGGTTGTACTTTTGATATGCCCTCTCAGTTACGTACCCAACATAACGTAACATAACGTCAATTTCCATTTCATTGACCAATTAAGGATAGACACAATATGCAATACGTTAAGTCTAAAAAGTCATTTGTGTCCCTACTTAGCTTTTGGTTTCGCGTTAGTTGGTGGTCCATCTCATAATGGATGATTTATGCCTATTAAATAGATTCAATAACCGTTCTAATCGGTTCCGGTTTCGGTTCTAATATCTCAAAAATCGCTGGTTTTGGTTCCGGTTCCTGTCAAAAAGGGCGGGTACCCGCCTATGCTCACATCTATTAGATTTTCCTTCATAAATTTTATTATTAAATCAGTTATTATTATTATTAAATTATAAATTATTATTAAATAACTTTTTTACATCAAAAAGGTTGTATTAAAGTTTCAATCAGATAATAACATGGTAATTATTGGACGAACTCCTCCTTTTGCTCTTCAGCTTACGGGTATTGTCAGCCGTTTCCAGCAGATACTTATGTAGTAACAGTATCAATATATTAATCTTGTTATCATTTAGTTTTTATCTCCAACAAATGGTTATGGCGAGATTCAGGGGGTGTTTGGGATTTGCTTATTTGAAACAACTTATGTTTTTTTTTAAAAAAACACTTATCAACTTATTATAAGACAAAATAGTTTAACTTCTTCAAAAAATTCTTATTACCGGTTAAGCACCGGTATAAGTTGTTTATCCAAACACTCAAAAATGTTTATTACCGGTACTACACCGAAATAAGTCAATAAGTTAAAGTAAGAAACTTGATAAGAAATCTAGACCCTTGATCATCTTTAATCTCATACTCTTTCACGAATCGCGCTTGATACAGAGATTAATCCGGTGCATCTCATTCTAATGTGCATCCAAAGATGAAGATCTCTTCTTACGCTTATCATTTTAATTTTCGTTCTCACTGGAACCCAACCCATAAAAAAAACACAAATTTCCTTTAAAATAAATTAAAATATAAATATGACCATTTATTTGAAAACTGATATTTATAAAACACAAGCAATAAATAAAGACCATAGTTTTTTTTCATACTAAAAGGTAATAACATTTATTTTGGAGTTCAATTAATCATTTTCCATTTAAAAAAAAATTATTTTAAAAGTGAATAAATATAATATAAAAATGTTTATTAAATTATATTATGAAAAGTATAAATTAACAAACCCAAGCTACTTTTTGTATTCATCTGATTGGACACATTAATTAATTTGGCGTTTTTTCCGGTGTCTCGATATCTCTCTGAAAAGTACGGAGAACACAGATTTTGGCTCTCATTCATGAAGGATCATCGCTTCCAAGGCAAGCACAAAAATATTGCACCTAAAAAACCCTAATTGGTAATAGCCCCCACACTCACCCACCATCTCTCTCAAATCATGTTGTTCTTCATCCACTTTTTGTCTCTCAGATCCTAATTTAAAGTCTTATAAATGTTAGTTACTGAAAAGGACTAACAAAAGTCTTCAGAAAGTGGATTATGTTTTGTGTTTGATCGTAGTAGTTGTATTCTGTGATGGCGTCGAGGCAAGGAGGAACAAAATCAAGGAAATCGAGTTCCAAGTATGCGAATTCACTGTCTTCATCGACAACTTCGTCTTCGAAACATGTTCCAGATGTTTCAGTTGATAATCTGAGTTCTCCGGCTTCATCAGCTAGAAGTAAGCCACAGTACGTTTACTCAGAGAGTTTGCCGGTGAATTCAGATAGATCGAAAGAGAATGTCACGGTTACTGTCCGGTTTCGGCCTCTCAGGTGATCAAATTGAGTTAAATGTAATGATATTTGCTTACTTTGTGGTTAAATTTGATTAGAAGCAATTTTCTTTTTTTTCTTTTGGTATAGTCCGAGGGAAATACGACATGGGGAGGAGATTGCCTGGTATGCCGACGGAGAAACAATTGTGCGGAACGAGCATACTCCATCAATAGCTTATGCATATGGTATGGTACATTATGGTGAAGCATAATTACTAGTATTCAGTGCTTGAACTTATTGGTGTACTGTTTGGGATCTTGAAGTCATACTTCACAACTTAGCTAAATAAAATTGACCCAACACAAATTCACATTCTAGAACTCGGATTCCAGCTGCCAAACAGTACTCTGGTGTAACTGAATTCAGTGTATCAGAGAGTAGAGACGACGGATAAGACAACTAATGAAGAGTGGAACTGAGTGGTAAGAACATCGAAGTACTGCAAAGGCAAGGTTTTACATAGAAGAAGTTATAATCAAACATGGGAGCTAAATGATTTTCTTTGGCATCTCGCGGTTGTCACTTGTCAGAATACCTCAAGAACACCAATGCATCTTCCACGACTAGCTAGTATTACGTTTCTGTTCAAACCTAAGAAAGTGAAGCTGAAACTGAGCGTTTGACCTTCCCAGTTTAGCTAGATCATTTGGAAGATGGCATAATTAAGCCTCACTCACCATACCTAAGCGATTTTCTGTTGCTACCACATAACTTCCCCTCATATATAGCAGCAGCTGTGAATGATGGACATAAACTGACTGCTTGCTTTATTGAGTAACTTTAGGTAGGACTGTAAGGTGACCATAGCTACTCAGGCTTCGCTTGAGAATTTGGTAGATTCGAATCGGAAACAAATCAGGTGAGACATAGTCTTTGAGGGAGAAATGCAAGTGGGTCAATTTAATTTTTTGTTGCTTGCTTCTGCTCTTTAGCCTCATGAATTTAAGGCCTTCCATTGCAGAGCTTGAGACATGCTCAACTTAGCAAGATCATCCAAGCTTATTTTTAAGGTCAAAAGTTAATAACAATTTATGCTATAAGGGTAACATGTAAAGTATGGAATTTATTGATTAGAAGGTTTTCCTTTCTCGGAAGAAAGAGATCGAGCTCAAATTATAGACATGGGCATGTTTGTGAATTTTTCTGAGTCAATTTTGGGTGTATTTTAAGTATCGGAGTTTCTTTTATCCTGAGCCAAAATCATACTTGAAATTTTAGATTCACTCGAGCTTTATTTGAATATGACCAAGGGTTTTGACCAAGTGAGTTGAGCTCAAGCCACCTCCTACTTGATTTATTTTGGCTCGTGTATATCTCTATCTTTAGGGGACTATATAAACAGTCTGGGTTTCACTCAAAAGTATACAGTGCGTTCTCATGCCTTTTTTATGCGTATCAATTATCAAACTATCAATTTTCTAAAGCTTATTTGAGAATGTTGCCTCACACTGATATGCAGTTTATCAGGTTAAGCATCACTAATCTCATTTTACTTTTGAATAGCGGTGATTTTAATCGTTACCAGGTCCATATCCTTGTAGTATCTAGGCATGAAGTATCCAACCACTGTCCACTGACGTGCATATGTTAAGGCTTATTCTTGTGAAAGATTGTTAGATCACATCTGGTATTTAAACTCGTCTAGAATATAATTTTTATAGATGACCCTTGGTTCATCTTTTAGTCCTATATAAGATCTCTGGTGTAAGGAGGATTCTTTCGTCGGCTTTGTGTTTTATTATTTTTGTTTTGTAGGCAGGTGAGTATGATTTTGTTTATTGGATCCAAATTTAACGTCTTCTGCATTTTTTTCATACAATCATCCATTTTTCCGTTACAAAAATCTTTCTTTTAGAGATAATTCCTGGGCAAACTGCATATTTGATATTACAAATTACATTTGAGGTTTGTATATGTTGGTTAATCTCACCCTTTTTTACATATAGATCGGGTGTTTGGGCCTACAACCACAACACGTCATGTATATGATATTGCGGCACATCATGTTGTTGGTGGTGCTATGGAAGGCGTTAATGGTATGTTATATTATATTTTTAAGTGGCTTATTTTTCTAATAACTCCTTCAAAGGTATTACTACCTAGTGGGTTGGCTGTATACTATTCAAGCTAAATGCTTGGTGGTGTTAACCTCATGAGATGGATTATTATTTTTAGATTTCAGGAATAAGTGTGAATTGAACTTTCACAGAGCTCATAGGATATTTTTTAGATGGAATAAACGTGAATCTTTCAAGCTGTGTTATCTGAATCTTGTTATGTTTGATGGCTGGGAAGTATTTCACCCTTGATCTCTTCCAAATTCAGTCTATGTCACAGAGACGGCTATGGCATGTGAAACTGAAGATAAAACCATTGGAGCTTTAAGTGTGCACGAGCTTACTTGAAAAGATCATACATTACCATCTATGATGATTGTTCTAAAGTTTAAGATATTTGGAGCTTCTGTGCAGAGAAAGTTTTGGCTATCTTATCAATTAAACCTGCACCCTTGAATCTATCCAATAAGATGTTTGGTTGCCATGTATCTTTGACTAAAGCATCCTAAGATCAGTGATAGTCATTGCGTGAAAACTAGTGGTCTTTTCTTCTTAATTATTATTAATTCTCTCTCTATATGTCTAATTTACATATTTTCTTGGAAACCATCATTACCACTGTACCACAACTACCGCACATATATCTTATATGACCTATTTCAATATCAGGGACTATCTTTGCATATGGTGTTACAAGTAGTGGGAAGACCCACACTATGCATGTAAGTATATCATGCCTTTTTCTTTTTGTCATTTTGTAGCTTGCTAATATCAGCTTCAGATTTATAGTTCTCTGAACTTCCTATAAGCCACATGAAAACATGAACCTTAAGCCTTTATGATCTCTCTTTCTCTCTCTCTCTCTCTCTATATATATATATATATATATATATATCTTTATAGCATTCCATTGTAGTTGTTTTGATTATTTTGGTCATACACACAAGGCAGGGCGATCAGAGGTCCCCTGGAATTATCCCATTGGCGGTAAAGGATGCTTTCAGTATAATTCAAGAGGTATGTATGGCTAAAATATTGATACCATCTATGCAAGTTATTCTTATTTAAAGAGTAGTAGCATCTGATAACCTTTTTATGGTTTTCAGACTCCAAGTCGTGAATTTCTCCTCCGTGTCTCATATTTGGAAATTTATAATGAGGTGGGGCTTCTAAACAATCTCTTCAGTGGCCTTAGTTTGTTGGTGCTTCCTACATGATAAATAAATCTAATCTTCACATTTTCACTCAGAACTGCGGCACGGTCCTACCTTTGCCATTTATTCCATCTGCTTTGCATGTCTTTTCGATCTCTACCATAATTGGTGCAGACTTTACCTATTAAATGACATATTATATGTGTGTATGTATATATTAAATACTAAGCTTGTGAGGAAATTGTCTCATAATTGAATGTATTCACCTTTCTAGCTCTTCTTTTTATCTCTACTTTATATCAATCTGCATAAATGCCACTTATGACCATACCAAATCAACACACTGAATAAAATATATATGGATAACCTACATGACACCTGGTTTCTGTTATGTAATGTTGCAGTCTTAAGATTCCTATTTTCTTCAGGTTGTTAACGACTTGTTGAATCCAGCAGGACAAAATTTAAGAATCAGGGAGGATAGTCAGGTAACTTTTTTGTATATCACGCTGATGCTTGCTTTCTCATGTTGTCTCCATACAATGTCAATGTCCAAATTAATCAGTGTTGGAGTATTCAACTTGAATCAGAATTAACCGTGTGGCACATGAAGTCACATTTATATCGCTTGTTTTAGATTTTTTTGGGAAGGGAGGGTTAAAGACCTAAATAAAACAAGTTGTTGACATTTTTCGTTTAAATTTTCAGCTTATAATGATACTGCTAGCATTTATTTTTGAACGTTCTTACAATGCAAGAAGGTATATATTGCCTATATGCTTAGTAAAGTTGGAGGTTGTATTGGCAAAAGAGAATCAAATCATCTTAACCTGTCAAAGTTAGATATTGGATGGGTTTACCAAGCATGTCAATGTTATACTCCCCATGCATTTCTATACAAAAATGTACCAAGCGTTATTCAAGATCCCATGTTCATGTCCTTTTTAATTCATAATTCTATATAAGATGGCCTTTTTGTCTTTGTATTCTAGCTCTATCAAACTCTTTTAACAATTCTAAAAGAATATATGCAATAATATCATTGCTTGTAGGGAACCTTTGTTGAAGGTATAAAGGAGGAAGTTGTGTTATCTCCTGCCCATGCTCTTTCCCTTATTGCAGCAGGAGAAGGTTTGTCTTGTCTCTGCTTTACTCTTACGTATCTAATGTTTTACATCCCAGAAGCTAGGTCACCTAGAAGGATATAGGGGTTTCGTTATTCTGGACTGAACAAGTGATCCATTCCATTTGTTGTCCATTGAATCTTTATATGGTTTATTCCTAACTCGTAAGTTCATTTTTCTTGGATCATGCTGATCAGGGAAGGACCCACTGTATTAGATACGGTGTCACGGGCCACTGCTTTGTTCCTCCGTCGTAATGTAAAAAATTATAGCGTTGTGAAAAGTGCCACCGTATCAATTTGTTGTGTGTCACTGTATATATTTTGAAACTATAGCGAGGACACCAATTTCCCTTGGTAGAGTTGGTTTGCAAGACCTTTCTTCCACCTCATAACCGAGTTTAAATCTTGTTAGTCTCATCTTCTTAGTTTTTAGCTTTTAATTTCAGAATTACTATGTTTCTAAAAAAATTGCAATAGAAGACTTGAACCCAGGACCTCACTTCTGAAAAACAATGAACTAACCAATAGACTGATGATGATTTTGTGAAAATATACATATATTTGTTTCTTATAGTCCAATGTGCCACCACTTAAAAAAAAATTCTAGGTCCGTCTCAGATGCTGATGACTATACGATATGTAACTGGTAGAAGATGACTACCTCCAAATGTCTTCTTTTTTCCTTCACCTTTTCTGGCCCTGGTTTTGCCTATCATCTATTCTTCTTATAGAAAGGCATCATAGGGTAAATATTACCCATATCAAGGTTGCATTTAGATGAGGCTATTTGTTTTACTATTAATGATATGATGCAGAAGTGTGTTTGTTTAAGCTGCTTATCTTTAAAATTAGACTTGTTGACTTAGTACTGCTTTCAAGTATTGCGCACTTATTACAAGTCCGTGATTCTCTTCTACGCTGATTGCATTTACACCTACACCAGTACTGGCAGTCCAATATTCTAGGGTGTAGTTTTTATCCGTGGTTAAATAACATCTTGTTACTTGTTCTGTTCTTTTTCTGAATGTAATTGATCTTCTATTCTTGTGCTCTTTGTTATCACAGAGCACAGACATGTTGGTTCGACAAATTTTAATCTGCTCAGCAGCAGAAGTCACACAATATTTACATTGGTAACTTTCTGAATTAGCTTAACTTTGTTCTGATTTCTTTTGGGTTCTTTCCATGTGAAAAGAAGGCTCTTTGCTTCTCTTGTATTTGTTGTTTTCTTGAAGTTAAGTATTTTGTTAATATGTTACTATTTTGTTACCTTCTAACAGACAATAGAAAGTAGCCCTTGTGGTGAAAATGGTGACGGTGGGGCTGTTAACTTATCACAGTTGGTATGCATCTGAATTTCACCTTACATTTTAGCATCACTGTTTCTATCAGTTTTGGGCTTGTAACTGGCTCATATTTGCTTGTCTTCAGTATTTTTTTTAGATTCTTTACTGTTGTGAATCGCATGCATAGATTTTTTTAAAGGGAAATCATCCAAAATGACCGGTAAATGGATGGATTTTTACAAAATGACCGTTTTTTAAACATTTATCACAAAATGACCAGTATTTTCACCACTTTTTTTCGCCATTGGTGATTTGACCTTTTTGGTACAGATGGGTCGCACATGCATCATAAAGAGGGGACCAAGTTTGATTTGTGTCAACATTTTTACTTTTTCGCCAAAGTCTGGCAATTCTTTGATTTGAGTTTGACTACTCACTTTGACTAGTAACTGCCACCAAGAATCAATGAGAAAAAGCCACGTGGAAAGCTGAAATACCCACCTATAGAAATTTGCCACGTGTTGGCGATTTTTGACCATTTTGACCGCCCATTTTGTTTATAATTGGTGCCCAACCCCTTCTACCATCATAACCCCTTAACACAAATATGAAATCACATCAAAAGGATAATGTTCCCATATATTCAAAGTCTGGAACGAATCACCACTTAGAATATATATGGGAATATTATCACTTTGACATGATTTCATATGTGTGCTAAGGGATTATGATGGTAGAAGTGGTTGGGCACCAATTATAAACAAAATCGGCGGTCAAAATGATCAAAAATCGCCAACATGTGCTGAATTTCTATAGGGCGGAGTTTTCAGCTTTCCACGTGGCTTTTTCTCACTGGTTCTTGGTGGCGGTGAGTAGTCAAACTTAAATCAAAATATCGCCAAACTTTGGCGAAAAAGTAAAAATGTTCACATCAGATTTTGTCCCCTCCTTATGATGCATGTGGGACCCATCCATACCAAAAAGGTCAAAGCGCCAATGGCGAAAATACTGGTCGTTTTGTGATAAACGTTTCCATCCGTATACTGGTCATTTTGGACGATTTCCCTTTTTAAAATAACCCAGCTTTGTGCACTCATTTCACCTCCAATTGCAGAACCTCATAGATCTGGCAGGTTCTGAGAGCTCTAAAGCTGAGACTATTGGTGTTCGTCGAAAAGAAGGATCCTATATTAATAAAAGTCTGCTGACCCTTGGAACTGTGAGGCCTCAATCATTGCCATTATTTTATCAGTGTAATAGTTTGCTCTACAAATGTCTACTTTTTGTCATGTAATTGTTTAGTACTAAATTCATCTTGCTACAAAGCATTCTACTACCTATTTATATGTTAGGGAAGAAGAAATGGGCACCATTATAAATAATTGTACCCCCAGGATTTGTATCATAAAAATTGAAAACTTTGTGCAACCAATTCCATAATTTCTACTGGAATAAGCAAACATTTTATTCTTTGGCCTGTGCCTTGTGAGATCTAACAAGCATAGATAATGCTCACCAAATTCCAACTCTCCCTTTACTAGTTTTATCTCCGAACAGTTCTTTTCTTGCTTCTTTCTCTATAGTGTGGCCTAAGCTATAACATTGGTGGGTTTTGTGTTTGCACTTATATACATTGTTTTATATCTTGCTACTTAGATATCTTATAGAAATTGCTAAACTTGAAATTATCCCAGGTTATATCAAAATTGACAGACATGAGAGCAGCTCATATACCATATAGGGACTCAAAATTGACTAGGCTCCTTCAATCTTCATTGAGTGGACATGGAAGAGTTTCTGTAAGTCTTGCATACATCTTTCGATCAACCACGTCTTATAAATACTTAACAATAAAAGCATGGCACTCTCCTTTTGAACCATAATATTATCTGCTCATGAAGTGCTTATTTGCTTCCTCTTTTAGCTTATTTGCAATGTTACTCCCTCATCAAGCAATTCAGAGGAGACGCACAATACATTAAAATTTGCCCACCGTGCAAAGCACATCGAAATTCAGGCAGCACAAAATAAGGTATGGACATTACATCCTTTATGTCTCAGAATAATCTTCTTTGGCATTACTTTAAAGTAAGCGTATGATTTTGCAGATCATTGACGAGAAATCCCTTATCAAGAAATACCAAAATGAAATTCGATCATTGAAGTTGGAGCTAGAACACTTGAAGAGTGGCATTGTAGTAGTTCCTCAACTTAAGGATACTGGAGGAGATGATATCGTTCTTCTTAAACAAAAGGTACTTCCAACCATTAGAATATTCTATTAAACTGCATGCTTTGTTCTTTTTCTTGTAACACGAGGTCATACCGATCATTGCCAATTCATTTTTGCTCAAGTCAAAGGTAACATTCAAGGAATTTCACATTTAAAATAACGAAAACCATGGAATAATGAACAGAATTATGCTACGGAACTTCTCAATATTCAAGTGGTTTGGGTTTAAACATTGAACTAAGGCATATGAGAAGCTGCTTGTGACTGCAATATGGAAGTTCTTTTTCCTTCGTCTTTTTTGTGACAGCCTGACAGGAAAATATCACCTGTCTGAAAGAGACAGGAGTATCAACACATAAATATTCTCTATCCGTTTCTCTACAACAATGTAGCCAGATTTTCATTATCTTGGCCATTGTGCTTTGCCTATGCAAGTATTTGATTAGAGTTGAGTGTTTCTCTTAAGTTGGCTGGACTTGCCAAATTTCTAAAGAATCACAATTAATGCCAGCTAATTTTGACCAAATTTTTTATGAACATCATATCACTTGTGTATTCCTTGGGAAAGTTGTATCCCCCTCTTCTTTTCTTGAAGTAGTGAATTCCTATTATTTATCCAGTTCCTTTTGGGTATCTGTTATGTGTAAAGCTAGAAGACGGTCAAATGAAGTTGCAATCAAGATTGGAGCAAGAAGAAGAAGCTAAAGCTGCTTTGCTAAGCCGAATACAGAGGCTGACCAAATTAATCCTAGTCTCCACCAAGTCTTCGCCCTCATCTAGACTTTCAAATCGCCCAAATCTAAGAAGAAGACATTCCTTTGGGGAAGAAGAGGTAGTCTGATTGAGTTAACCGATGTCTTCCTCCTTTTTCCTGACTTCAAATTACTTTTGACTTTGTGATATAGCATTGTGGTTAATATGCCAAAATGTCATATACTAACTTTCTGTTTTTCTAAATTGTAATTATATAATCTAAATAATCTCTTGCAATGGCCAGCTTGCATATCTCCCGCATCGAAAGCGTGACATAATTTTGGATGATGAAAACATTGAGTTGTATGTTCCTCTTGATGGAAGTGTGGAAAATAATGAGGATGCACTGAAAGAGGAGAAAAAAACCAAGAAGCCTGGATTACTTAACTGGTTGAAACCACGGGTCAGTCTCTTATGTGATTCTTGCTTTGTTTATTAGGGTTGAATGTCTAATGACTCTCACTTCCTTGTTTTTTAAGCTAACTTCTTCTTTCTGAAACCATGAATTACCTCCATCCCAAAGTGATTTTAGTGTTTGACTTCATAAAGAAATTCCTTTGTTGAATTCATTTTGTGATTACTTTACCAACACATAGAAAATTCAAACAAATTTTAGTTAAAGTGACTAGGAGTCCAGGGTTCTCCAAACATGGGTACCAAAAATCAAACGTCCTTCTTAACTAGGCATGAAAGGAGTACACTTTTCTTAATAATTCAATTACAGTTGTTCCATGAATAGCAAGTTCTGGAGTAATTATAGTTAACTTTCAACATTGATTAAATAGATACTCATTGATGAACTTGGTATCCACTTTTTTGCTACTTGATTTTTGCTCAAGCTGTAGTTTTTAACTTCAGTCAAGATCAGGAAGCATAAATATAGGATGTAATTGTGTAAAGAATTAACAGATTTTTTATACATAGTTAAGCGATGACAAAGACATAAGAATATTATTCAATTTTACTTCGTTAAAAATTGTAGCATGACAAGAGTATGCTAATATATTATTCAACCTGACTTCTTGATACCGTTGCCATAGTTAGATCAGATGACTGTCTAATGGAGGAAAAGGTTTTGAAACCACTGGACCTTAAAAAAGTTAAATAATTTAGAAGCTGAAGATCCATCAACTTATCAGGCTGAAGTTCTATTGGATTATGCAGTAATCCATGTAACACAAAGGAGAAACCTGCTTTGCCTTGTTTTTTATTTATTACCTGCATGGATTAGTTGCAAAGAGACCTTACCATGGTTGTTAGCAAGTGTATGTTCTGCCATGGTAAATATATGCTATTTAGACTTAATTAGATATGAGAGGTGTTTGGCTGAATGCTACCCCACCTCATCCAAGTAACTTAGGTTCAGGTTTCAGCCCCTAAATCTACCACTGTATGGGTGTTGTTTAGCTGATCACAATAGGAAAAATAATCTTTCAGTTTTCATGAATGCAAGCCTATATAATGATCAATTACAGTATGCATGCCTCAGATACGTGACACTAGGCATTTAACCATTTCTTGGACAAGATGTAAGCTTAACGTAGGTCCATCTATTGTAAGCTTATTGATTCGGTTCAGTTGACCTAAATGGGAAAAGTAGACATTAAATATTCTACGTGCAGTTAGTGCCCTTAGGTTAATCATATTGTGAAAAAGCTTGATCAATATCATACATATGTGCAAGCTATTACATGCATGGGAATTAGATGCAGACTTTCTTGAAGTTCAATAATATTTTGTCACGCTGCTGTAGGAAAGATGAAAACCTGCATTGAAATATTGGTTCCTACCCCTGTTACTGAAAATAAAATAGTAAGTAGCCAAGTAGGGACATGCACCTCACTTATATCTATCACTCTGAAAGGTATCTTTTGTTGCATTAGACCTATACATTACACATCCTGGGATTGCATGTCATAGATTAAAAGTTCTGCTGCTTCTGTTTTCATTATTAATACTTACCGAGTATGTAGGTGGCAATATTTATCAATTTCTTTGAACTATTAAGTCTTCTATGTTAATGTTTATGTATTTTGTCTCTCGTCCTCTCTCAACAACTTCCTGCGGAAGGTTAATTATATTATTGCTTTTACTAGAGACGAGACAGTATCTCTGGGGCATTGACCAGTACTAATGATAAATCAAGTGGCGCCAAGTCTATCAGCACACCTTCAACTCCCCCAGCAGATAATCATAATTTTCCGACTGAATCCAGACATTCACACTCTTTGCTTTCAGAATGCAGATCTGCTGAGTTCTCATCGGGGGGCAGACAAGATCAAGAAATCAACGAGGATATTTTCTTGCAACAAGAGAGTCCTCTTGTAAGTAATTTCCCTTCAGTTTTATCTACACGCACATGAATAAATTCAACTGTACGTCTGTCAGTGCTCAAGATTTGATAGATTTTTAGAACAACCATCTCTGAGAAAACGGGCAGTCTGTCTTGGGTTGTCAGCCAGATCTTTTGTACAACTTTAAGCCAGTTTAAACTGCTTGTATACAGAGGTATTTTGGAACGTGTTGATGTATTGTTACTCAATAACAGATCTCAACATTAAGTCAAACTGATTTCAGCTCAAAAACACTAGCAAGAATCTTTGACCTAGGAACTCTGTTGAAAGTACAAATTTTTCTTTTATTTTTTCTTTGTCGCACACTTCTCACAAGCTGGGGGTCTTCACAACCACTTGCTCTACTCTTTGAGGGTAAAGGTCAGGTTTGCGTATATCTTCCCCGGTCGGACCCTACCTTCAGGTGGGATATACCGGGCTCGTTTAGGTTGGTTTGGTTTACTGTGTTTCTGGCTTTGGACTAGTAAAGTTGTTTACAGAAAATCTAGAGTTCAGACATTTAAACTTCCGCTTGTTATGTGATTGACAGATTAGCATAAATACAATTGACCAAATTGATCTCCTTAGAGAGCAGCAAAAGATTTTGTCCGAGGAGATGGCAATCCATCTAAGTGCTCTAAAACGATTGTCACCAGATGCTGCAAGAGACCCTGAGAGGGAATTTATAAATGTAATAACTCAAATCTTTCATCAACTGTAATTGGCATTCATATACTGATAAGAATCACTTTATGACCTACAGGTTGAGATTACCCGATTGAATGAACAAATCAAACTAAAGAGTGATCAAATCAAACTCTTGGAAGACAAAGTCGCTAATTCTGCTGTATCATCTCATCACAAAATGGGTGAAGTTGAACAAGCACGAGTAAGTGCTACTACCTCTTAGATGTGTGGCCTTGCGCCTGGTGTAGTCTTCTGTTTAAACTGAAATTCAAATTCTTATCTTATGCAGTCTGTTTCTGAGCTAGAAGCACAATTAAGTGAGAAATCCCTTGAGCTTGAGGTATGTTATCTTGGAACACACACACACACACATATATATGTATCTATATGTAATAAATCTAACCTACTCTTAGATGTTGCAAATGGTATAGAGCTATTTTTTGTTTTGAGTACTCTTTTTTATCAGTAACCAAATATACCATATCTCATCAATTAGCTAATGAGCATGAGTAAGTTTTCTACTGCGCCTGTGATTAGCGAAGGTTGGTGAGCATCAATCCAACCCACATAATTTGAAAAACAAAGGCATATCATTTTCCAATATATGAGTTCTAATTTTGAACAGCATGATTAAAAGCACATTAAACGACCCAGACCTTCTGAATCCCTCACAAACACGACCACTTGCTCTAAGTCACAAACAGTCCAAAGTCTGGTCGGGTATTTTTAATAAGTTTGGAGTTTGTGAAAGAACATTGAAGTGAATGTTTTTCACGGTTTTTATGTCTTTCTAGAAACAGTATACTGTAATCTGAGACATGTCCTATATCTCTTTTTGGCAGGTCAAAACCGGGGATAATCGAGTACTTCAAGAGCAGCTCGACCAAAAGGTAAAAACCAGGTTTTATCTTTTCTTGAAGTATTATATATATAGGGTTGGGTTCCGGTGAGAATGAGAGTTACAGTGAGAAGGTTAAGAAGTGATCTCCACCTTGGATCAATCCTAATTGAAGAGTTCTACTAGATCAACACTAATGAGAAGCACTGGATTGATTCCCTTCTAAATCGCAATTCATGGGTTGGTTTGAGATTAGAAGTGATCAACAGTCCAAATCCCTTCTTACATTTCTCACCTTAACTTCTTTTCTCACACGATCCGTCGTCCATATACACACACACACACTGCAAATACTGACACACACTCATCATTTTTGGTGAGGTTTAAACCCTTGACAAACTAGGAGGCTGTCTACCATTAACCCAAGTTGGCTTGGTCAATGACCCTTTGGTTATGTTTTTCTTTTTCTCTAGAACATTGTGATTCTTTTCTCTTGCTTTAGCTTTTATGAGAATTCAACTTTTCTCCAGATCAATGAATGCGAAGGACTACAAGAAACAATCAAGTCCTTGAAACAACAACTTTCCGATGCAAGGAGTGAATTTAATGCAGAGAAAGATGCAAAAACAACCTTGCTTTGTCAAGCTCAGGTTTATCCTCATATTACCGCTTTCAATTTCATGTTTGATGTTGAACCAAGTAGCAAAAATTTATGTTCGAGAACTGATTCATAAAAAACATATCCTCGATTATTTATTTTTTTGAACTATATAATATATATTATATACGGCAAATGCAATAAATAAACTCACACACCCTCCTCACTATTGGTAAGGTTTGAATCCCGGACCTCCTCGATTAAATCTTCTCGGCACACTTCTCAAAATATATTTCGATGAAGTTAGGAGCCGGCGAAATCAGTTCTGTTTTTTAGGGTGTGTTTGGTATCCAGGGAGGAAAGGATAGGACAGGATAGAACAGTTGTTCAACGTTTGGAAAGACAGAACTAGAAAAAACAGAGCAAATAAAATGACCAATTTACCCTAATGAATTGTTTATATATTTTGATTAATTATGTTATTTATTAAATTATAATTAAATAAATATTTTTAGAAAAAAAAAATATATTATCAGAAAGTTTTGATCAAGATGATTAAAATGACACCAAGATAAAAAGTTTATACAGTTTCCAACTTTTATTTTATATTTTTTCTATATTAATAATATTTAATAAATTATATAAATTAATTAACATATACAAACTGTATAATAATAATATTTTGAGGAGTAAAGTGAAAGTTTAAAAAAATATAAAATACAATAAATTTAAGAGGGAAGCGTAGTTGAGATTTTAGAAGATAATTAGGTTTTATTTGAGGTTTATCGGCAAAAGCTAGGTCTGTTCCACCTTGTTCCATGAGTGGGGGTGGAACACGCATGTTCCACTTTGTTCCCGTTTGTTCTACATGAAAAACCTGTCAAATATGGAATAACGATCCCTTACAAATTTTGTTTTTATAAATCCATTTCGTCATATACTCAAACGTTATCAACTTATTCTTTCGTGAAACAAAGCAGCGTGTGATCTAATGCTATTGTATAAACTAGGCACTCGAGATTGAAGAACTCAAACAGAAAGTGGCCGAACTAACAGAATCTGAAGAGCAGTTAGAATCCCGTAGCAAAAAACTGGCGGAAGAGAGCTCATACGCGAAAGGACTGGCCTCAGCCGCTGCAGTCGAGCTTAAGGCCCTATCGGAAGAAGTTACGAAACTAATGAACCACAACGAGAAACTAACGGCTGAGTTGGCATCTCAGAAGAACTCCCCGACCCAACGTAGAACAATGGGGTTCAGCAAGAACGGGCGAAAAGACGGCAGACAGAAAGAAGCAAGTCCTAAAGAGTCAGAGTTGAAGAGGGAGCTTGCATTGGGCAGAGAAAGAGAAATGTCTTATGAAGCCATGCTATGTGAAAAAGACGAAAGAGAATCGGAACTACAACGAACGGTTGAGGAATCGAAACAGAGAGAGGCGTATCTCGAAAACGAGCTCGCAAACATGTGGGTTCTTGTGGCAAAGCTAAAGAAGGCACAAGGAGGAGGAACCAAGACCGAAGAGGCATCGGAGTCGAGTCGGGAGAGTCAAGGAGTTGATGGTTTTGAGATGTGGACAAACAAAGGGTTTGTTGGGTGATTGATGAGCAAGTGAAAACAACAGAAAATAGTAGATGTTAGGAATTGGGATTGTGTGGTGTGTAAAAAGGTGTTTTTTTGCAAGTGTTGTACAAATCAGGTTCATAAGTTTGGTGACTATTTGGGCCTAAGGGCATGTTTACACCAAAATCGAAGGATTCTTAGGAGTTATGATGAGGTGTAGAAGGGATTTGGACTTTTGATCACTTTTAATATCAAATTGATTTATGAATTGCGCTTTGGAACAGCAATTGATCCGGTGTTTCCTATTAATGTTGATCTCATGGAACTCTTCAATTAAGATTGATCCAAGGATGGAAATCTCTTCTTACCATAACTCATATTCTTACCCGAGTCCAACCCTTGCACCAAATCCATAAAAATGGGTGTCAACTTTGGAGATCTTTTCAAATTGGTAACATCAAATCTTATGCAAAAAAAAGTTAAGATTGTAGGTATATTTCATTTTATCTTTTTCCATTGGTGTAAATGGATAGTGTTAAATCAAATTTCGTGTAAGATTTGATGTTCTCGTTAAAGTGATTTAGTATCATATTTAGAAATGACTACATGAGGTCGGTTGTAAAAAGTGGTTTTGGGTTTGGACTGGTTTGGTCAAACAGTCTACTTGAGTCGAGTCGAGTCGAGTCGAGTAATTTGTAAACATATAAATATGTTTGGCTTGAACAAGTGTATACTCGAATGACTCCTCTCAACTCGAATGACCCGACTCATAAAGTTTAATCTAGCTTTCGAACGAGTCGAGTTAAATATTGGTGTTATAGAGCTCGACTCGTTAAGTTAAACGAGCTTTATTTCGTGTTTGAGACCAACTCGATCTCGAAAATTTTGGTTTCGGGATTTTGATTATGCTGCTAGTAGGGATGGTAAGAAGAGATATATTTTACATCCCAAGGGGGGCTATAATTGGAGAAGGATAAATTCCAAGCAAGTAGTGTTTGGAGCGAACGAATTACCAGTACATTATGACAAGCTTAGCCCCCATAACATTGTGACGCAAAACCGCCATCAACCACTTATGTTATGTTATGTTCAATAAAGTGAGGGCTTTCCGGACCTTCCCCACCCTTCACTCCCCTTTTCAAAAAGAATCCCCGCTCAAGAAGTGACTTCGTGAGTGTGCGCCCCTTTAGAGAAAGGGAGCTTTTACATATGAAGTTGTATTGTAAATGAAAATTAAGTAGGTGAAGATAAAATGTTTAATACAACACTAATTTATTTTTAATTTTTAAAAAAAGTGATCCAAAGATCAAATATAGTAGGAGGTCTCAGGTTCAAATCCAATGAGGAATAAAAATCTCCTTGTGGTCACGGAGGTTCAAATGTGATGACTCCAGGCTATCTGCAAAGCAAGTGGTCGTCCTAGGATTAGTTGGCTCGCATAACGGGTTGAATGTCCAGGTTAATAAAAAAAATTGGTAAAATATGAGGTTTTTATATTAAATAATATAAAATAAAAGTTTTTGAAGCTTTAAAAGACTTCTTTTTGTTTTGAATGTTAGAAGCTATAAAAAACTTGTGATGTTGTAATGATGAAGTTGTGTAACTTCATATGAAATTTCACATCAAACTTCGTAGGTTTCTAGTTTGATGGTTGTACGTGCTAAAAAAATCCGGTACATTTTGCTTCTCATCGTAGTCTTTCGCAACACTTTAGGGTTACTTCTTTGGCTTAGTATCTCAAACCGAATTCGTGGTCAACTCGAAGTTGCTGAATCTTTCAGATTAGACAGGGAACATGCGGAGACATATGTTCAGAAAGGTTCTCCATATTCTCAACCCATTACCCTATCCAAGCCTTCTCTCCGACTTTGGTTGAGCAGGTAAAAAGCGATAACATAGCTCCATTTTATCATCATCATAACAATTTCCGTGTAGGCAGCACTGTATGTCGTACCGTTGACACTATCTATTCCTTGAATTTGCTTCCCCCTATTGAACGAAATGCAAAAACCACATACCCACAAACTTGTCAAAAAAAAAAAAAAGGGTTATGGAATTACTTCTTATTCCCATATATGTTTTATATGTGAAGCTATTTTTGTAAATTGATAAATAATGAAGTTTTTGATGTTGCATATAGAGATTTAAATGTGAAGCTTCATATTGATATATTAAAAAAAATTCAAAATTAGAGCCAATCAAATTATATCAAATAAACAATCATATTAATTTTTTCGGGTAAAAAGTTGATTACCGACAATCTTAACTGGCCTCATATGGAATGCATCTCTAAGGACATCAATGTAAGAGGGTACTTTTGGCTCATTCAACGGTTGAGGCTAATGAGGGGTCCGAGATCAAACTCAGGACCTATCTTCTATTTAGACAAAGTCATCTCAATCCTTTACCAACTGAACTATGAATCTTCGTATAAAGATTTAAAAAGTTTTACATGGTGGAAAAACCTAGTTAAAAGAACCGATAAAAAAAATATGAATGTCAAACTAAAAAAAGTATTTAACATAATCTGGGTCTAATTTTTCATACCAATTTTTTTTTAAGTATATAATATTTATATACAGTAAATAAAAGAAAATAACTATAAATTTTGATGGAATGATTGTGATAGATTGTTAGTTAACTATAAAATTAGAGAAATGGTTAATAAAAAAAATCATTAATTAGCGTTAAACCAATTAAGGGTGGTAATATTGTATCAAAACAAACAAGCCAACATGTGTATCAATTGTATGTCAATTGCAATTGGTTGCTAGTACCATACCAAATATGAAAACTTGGTACACACGGTATTGGAAAATCTCATATCACAGTGCTATCATGGTACCGACTTATTTAATTATTTATTGTTTTTTGTATTTTTATGATGTATTGAATATTAAAAAGGGGGAAAGTTCAAAGAAACTCGATGGATATTAATGTTTGAAATGATTAAGTCCTTGGACATTTCAAAACATGTTAAATAAATCTTTAAACTTTTCAAAATATAATAAATATATCATTATTACTTAAAAATGTAACTTGCAACATGTATAACAAGCAACTACAACTTAAAAAACTCTAAAAATTATTTTAAACGTGAATCATTCGCCCCATTCCATATGCTTCCCTTACACTGTCATTTCAATCCCATCGCCTTACACCACGTACTGTTGTCACGCCACCGCTCTCAGCCTAGCCTGTCGTCACTACCATTACAGGTCATGTGGTTTGATTTATCAAGTTCGGTTCATCACTTAGATGTTTAAGTCTTGTTTGATTTCTCATGTCAGTTTTGATTTGTTTTGAATTAGTCAACGATTTCGTCATATTGTGTCTTTGCTTTCCCTTTTTTGTGCTACTTGTAGTATATTTTGGTGCAACTTTTAGTATTTTGACGCAAGTTTTTGTATATTTTGATGTTACTTTTATATATTGTGGCCAACTTTTATATATGTATTTATTTATGTTTCAGGTACAACTTTTGTAAATTTCAGAATTACTAATGATTTTATAAATGCAAGAATTTATTTCACAGATTTTCAACGATTTATTTAAATAAATACTCACAAGTTTAGAGATTTATTTAATAGGTTTCAGAAAGTCCAATGACTTATTTATTTTAAAAACTTAATAATTACAAACAGTAAAATTGATTGAATTTTTTGGACTTTTCCCTATTAAAAATTGTAAATTTAATGTTTTTGTTTGAATATTTACAAATTCTATTTTCTCCAACTAAAAAATCCTTAACTCTGACATGTCTAACCTACAAACTAAAAATGTCCCTCAATATTTGAACAAAACTATAAATTTTCATATATAAACTTGAAATTAATACAAAACCAGTACTAACATGTAGTAACTAAAAAAATAATATCAATTAAATTAATATCAAATATATGTAATTGGTACATCTTATAAAATTATGTATCATTATAACTGATTGGTATATAATAATAATAATACATAATCAGCACCATACCAAGTCCAACCGTAAAATCAGTTATCATTAGAAAAAGAATACATCAAAAAAGTAGCTTGTGTTTATTCAAATGTTACAGAGCCAGCAAACTAAACCTTACTCCAAACTCATTTTTCGATTGATTAAACCTACTAAACAATGACATAAGAATCAAATGTTAAATTACACTCTAACAAATATCACACAATCAATATGTGAACCAAGTGCAACAAAGCTCTCTTCATCAGAATCCGAACTCGTCGGCCCGTAAACTTTCTTTCATGTTACACGGTTCAACGACTTAAAAGTCGCGAAATATTAATTAGCTTGTTATCATTCAGACTCTTGAGGAGCTTGTTTTACAGTAGATTGTCCAAGACAATCAGGGAATTTGATGGGGAGTGTTAATGGTTTACTGGTGCAGACCCCTTGGACTGCCTTGGCTAATGTATACCCCAATGCAGTTGACACAGAAAATGAAACTGCATTTCCAATCTGCAAGTACCTGAAATCAAATTCCAAATAATAAGATTGTATAATTCAGGTTTTCTAATACTAAACTAAACGGACCTAATAAATCACACACTGAGGTAGGGTCTTGTGAGATCCGACATAAGTTGGGGTGGAGAACAGAAGTTGTCTTATAAGGGACTAGATACCTTATCTATCATAAGCATTTTTTTATTAACCTGGATATCCAACCCGTTATGCGAGCCAAATAATCCAAAGGCGACCACCTGCTTTGCAGATATCCCGGAGTCACCGCATTTGAACCTCCGTGGCCACAAGGGGATTTTTATTCCTCCTTTTGGATTTGAACCTACGACCTCCTAGTACTTTTGACATTTGGAACCAAGCTCAAACCAATCAATCACCACACTTGTGGTTGTCATACACATTTTAAAACCATGAGCACAAGTATTAAAAAAATAAACTATATTTAGCAATGTTATAGGTCAAGAGAGTAAAATGTACCCAAGGGGTAGAGAGCTGTTTCAAGTTTTTTTTGCATAAAAAATCTAATGAGTTTTAATGAGAAAAAAACACACACAAAGCATTTTGCAAGGTAATTTGTTAGAAAAAGAGCAAAACTACTGACATTTGTATTATTATAGTACTTTGGCCTTCGGCATGTAGCTTAATTAACAAATGGGCTGGATAATTTTGTCCAAATCCAAGACATGTCCTCACAAAAAAAATGTCCCCTCAAATTGGTGTCTTGGAGGGCAGGTACCATGTAGAGGTGGTTGGAGTTACAGATAATCAACTTTTTACCCAAATTATAGTACTTTGGCATTCTTGCAAGAATAGTGTCTGGTCCATGCAAGGCTATATTTAGCTTAATGACCTCCAAATGCTGTTTTGCAAAAAGACCCTCTAGTGTATTTCCACATTTTTACAGGAGTAATCTGTTTTAAACCAGATGAAGATCATGGAGCTAAAGAAAATTAGAACGCCATGCTCATAATTGGAAACTCATCTAAATTCATTTATCCAAAGGACCAGTGGTGTGCAACAGAAAGTCACAATCATTCAATAGAAATCATTACCCAGGATTTGGATAGTTACTATTCTTCACTCTAATAAAATGATATCATTACCTTTCCTTAACAGGCCCAGAAAGTTTATAGTGATCGGGAAACCCTTGTAGACGTGCATTTTCACGAATAGTAAGTACTCTATCCTGGTTAGGATGAAGCAGCACCTATAAAAAAAGATAGAAACATACAAAAACTTGACATTCTGTTTCTTGATTCGATTTGGTAGCCATGATGGGGTAAAAGATTAGAGACCTGATTGTGTGGCTCGGCTCTACCTACTACAGTTGTGACGATATCATCCATGCTCAAGCGCCCAAACGGTCTGCATTTTAGTTATTTTAGTAACTTTAGCAACCAAGATCAAGCATAGTATCATATATGCAAATGCAAAAAAAACACATACTTTCTTGAAGTTCCACGAACAAATGTCATGGCGTAATTGGGAACCTGTATCATTGGTTGTTGTCATTAGAGAAACATAAGAAGGTATTGGAAATAAGAAATTTGTTTTGGAATAAACACAAAGATTTGATGTTTAATTGCTACCAAAGGTTTTCCTGAAGGTAGCATGACTCTTTCAACTGAAGGGTCCCATTCTACTTTGTTGTTCTTACCAACCATCACCCCTGGTAAATTTCTAAAGTTTGCTCCCTGCATATGAATTATTACCTCATGGTTATTATCACTTCAAGAAAATGAAAAGAAAAAAAAAACCTGTTATCATTACAGCAAGAGCAAAAACACACGTATGCGTAGTCAGGTTAAGGGGAAAATCACAAAAAAGTGAAAAAGTGAGAAACACCCAGGTAACTATCCATCTAGACAGTATGCACATGTGCATAACATGCACACCTACATAGAAACCAAGAAACAACTTCAATTACTTGCACACAAATAAACTTAAAGTTGAAAACAACTTTAAATTTTTTCTTCCAACTTCTTTTTCAAACTTCTCCTTTTGGGGAATGGAACAAACTTCAACTTAGTTCCTATTTTGATACATGAAAATTCGGTAACCAAGTCCTTCAAATAACAAGTTTTGAAAGTTGGTTCCCAAAGTAAAAGTCAAATCAAAGTATGTTCCATTTGATGCAAATTGCTCCTACTGAAACTATTCAACTTTTGATATCTGTTATAAAGTCATTTAACTTGCAAAAACCATTACAAGAACCATTTAATTTCAACAAATCATTATAAAACCATTTAACTTCAATTTCTTTATCATGAAAAAGATATGCAATCAATTTTGAAAAATATAATGGTTTAGTAACAGTCTAAAATCCAATGACCAAAGAGAAAATGAAATGGAACTATGATACCAAGTGTTTGCAATTTGACCATAATTGGTTCAAAATTCTTCATCTTGCATCATGTTTTTTATGCCATTTTCACAAGAATGATGTTAGTTTGCATAAAAAGGCAGGTGTTGAAAAAGTGAACCAGTGGTTAAGATAGCCCAACTTTAGTCTGCTGAAATTTGATGGGTCAGATGGGTTGGATGAAATATGAAAATTTATCGCAAGCACAATTGTATTCACATGTTATTAATGTGATAAGATCATAAGAATGAAACCTTTATTTTTGGAATTTGGCAAACCCGAGCATAATCATCCTCATTCAGTTCCAGCGGCCTATGATCATAAAGCATCTTTCTTTTTGATGCATCTTTCGCCACAGCTGTTTAAAATAAAGCTTAGTTATGGTTTTTAGCTGAAACAAATTATTGAATCCAAAAATAAATAAAACAAACCCAATAGATCCCACCCAAAATTGGGGTCCAAGAAGGGTGAGATGTACGCAGACCAGACCTCCACTCAAAGAGTAGAGAGGCTGTTTCCATGAAGACCCCTAAGCTAATGCTCAGCGTGTAAAAAGAGATACAGATTAAATTTGCAGAAAAAGAACATAAGATAATCATTTTAAAGTAGAAAAGAAGTTGAAAACAATAAAGATGGTTGCCAAATTTTGAAAACATGAGTTAGAAATAAGCAACCAAAATCAAACATAAGAACAGGCACAGAAGCTATTGAATCCAGAAATTTATTGCTAAATCCACCTTGTTTTCTCATTCTGATGTATTTCTGAAAACTTGTGCGTGGGGCCCCTGCATACTCCATTTCATCTTTGCCATTGTTGTTTGTAACCTAAAGTGAAATTAAATAAATATCAACGGAAATGTAATATGTCCAAATCTTTTCAAGATTATTATCAATGGCATGACCTTGAAGTAATTAGCATACCTCAGGCAAGTCTGAAATAGCATCCCCAAGTAATATGCTCTTTTCTAACTTGTATGACTTGTCGTTATCAGACCCAACAATACAATCCTGTCATCAAACAAAGAATAGCTTAATACCAACTGATAAGCACATATTTACAAAGATTATGAAGGGTATATAGGGGATGATCAAGTGAGAATCACAAAAAGGTTGGACATGTTTTTCTTCATCGAAGGCTTAGATTTAAGATATTGTTTGATGTGTATTTGTTTCACAATATGAATCTTTTGTGAAACAAAACATGATTCACTGGTTCTCGACCTTTTTGAGGTTCTCAATTGATTATGCCCTCTATGTATGTACGTGTGTAGATATATATGTAGTTATTATCACCTTGAATTCAAGTGGAACAACTCCTTTCCCGACAACCTCATGTGTGGGCAAAGGGAACTGAGGCAAATTCTGTTGGTTCAGAAAACTGTTAGAAAAATAATATGGAATAACAGTATGCATATTCAAAGAAACTTGCCATTTTTGTATGAGCACCCCAAAGAAAAACTCTCAATCGGCATTGAGGAACTCCATATGATCCTGCAGCCATTATCCCCATGCGTGTCTGATAATTCATAGAAACTAGACGCCCTACAGCATGATATCCCAAAATACCATCCGCAAATTTGACGATATCACATACATTCTCCATCAAAACAAATTTTGGTTTTAAAAACTCGATGATATCCATGTAAACTACAAGCTGATGATTCTTTGGATCTTTTAGAGGATCAGTGTAGTTTCTAAAACGATTGTGACCACTGATTCCTTGACACGGAGGACCTCCACAAATGAAGTCAACATCACCCTGGATAGATATAAACAATGCACTGAGCATATAAAGAGAACATCCTATAAACGTAGTGAAAATGGAAAGAGAAGACAACTTACAGGAAGAGGTAATATCCTTGATTGGTATCCTCTGCTTACAAATTCCTTCATAGCATCCGTACAATTGCTATTATAAGAGAATACATTCATGTAAGTACTTTTCTAGAAAGAGAGTCGTGCTCTACCAAAATGTCATGAAGACCAAAGGGGTTGAAGCTAGAGACCTCAAACCATCAAACGGCTCCCAAGTGTCGTAGCTAGGACCATAGCCCTTCCATCGCACCTATATGGCACAAAATGAAAAGAAAATGTAAGGCAATACCAATGTTTTCGAAGATATAAGCTAAAGAATTGGCATGAATAGTCTATACAAAGTGACATCTCATCAAAAGATAAAACATATAAGAATTTTAAGAAACTGATGCATATTTTAGATTAACATAATTAATATGAAGCTTTAGGCAAGAGAATTGGCAGATCTCTGTAATGGTTAGCATCCACAAAACAAATCATTATCAAAAAATGGATTGGTTTAGCTATACATAGTTTGCCAATACAGAAGCCATCATCTAATCACCATGTATCTGAAAAAGACTGTAAAGTCTTGTGCATTACTTTATTAATGGACACTAACTCTTCTTTTGTCATACACATATATTGTATGTATATCTTTTTTGCGCATGAAAAGTTATGCATGTTCCATTACCCTCTTCTTTTTAAGAGGACATTTTCAACCTCATAGTCTATTAGGGGTATATTGCAAATCTATCTCAATGTTCAGTAAATCTCTCAAGACCTAACAAGCTAGTTAGCACTCAACACTCACCAATCTTTACCCAAAAATTACATATGGTAGCTAGGAAAAGGGTGGCTTCAAACTAAAAGCAATACAGTCATTTGTCATTTGGGGCAACTACAAGATTGTAATTCCATGAGGAAATAATAAAGTACTTACCTAATGTCACTAACAAGTTCAATATATTCTACTAAAGGGCGGGGCCGTCCCTTAGCAATAGCATGTTAAATGTAAGATTTTGAACAAGCCTCCCAAAATTTTGGGGCCCAAATTTACACGTGTTTAGGGTCATTTTTATCGACTTGTATAAAACTATAGCCAAAAATTTTAGGTTTAAACCATTAGTTTGGTTTTAGGTTCAAATTATTAATGGTTTAGGTTTCAGATTGTTACCCGTTTTAGGTTTAGCCCATTTTTGTTCTTAACATATATTCTCTGTTATCTCATTTATGCAATGTAATCAAAAGTTCAGGATGTAGCAAGGCCTCCAAAAAGATTGGAACGTCCCTGCCAAAGGGTGATTGTCCCAGTGGTACTCAGATTAGTGGTTAGCGGTAGAGCCAAGAAGGTTCAAACCTCACCAAACTGGAGTGTGTGTGTGTATTTACAGTATATAAACATTATTTACTTCAAAAATCTTCAATGTGTTCTGCAATTGCTACTGTCAGCTGTATTTGTAGGCATGCCTTCACCTACAAGGTCCTACAATGCTATGATGTTGTACAATCATGAGTTGATTTAGAACTATTACAACTATGTATGGATGGCTTGTTGATCAAATTTGATGATGTAAAGTGACTGGCTTTCCATATAGCATGCATATAGCCTTGACTAAGGTTACCTCCACAACTATCGGAAAGTAGAATACCTTGAAATGGAGTTTTTTATTGTTGACTTTGTTTGGATCACCATAACAAACAGCTAGCAATTTTCCTACTTCAAATTCACCATCAGAAGGATCAGGATTGCCTTCTTTCTCCTGAGAATCTGATTCTTCAGATTTTATACTTGTATCTTCGGCATGTTGTGACCCCAACAAACAGAACTCTTTACAAAGATTTTTCCACTCTTTCAGCAAAGATAAAAAGTCTTCAGCTGCTTCATTTCTCACCTATATAAATAAAAGTGATATTTAACACCTTGAGTCACTTAGTATTGACATGGGAAGAATATAAATTCAATGTCAACCTCAGTTTCAGTATGGTTCAACTTTAAACTTTCACATGCATGCTTATTGATGTCAACTGCCCATTTCTGTAGCATTCAAAAGAAGATATCAGAAAATTTATATGGAATTTGGCATGAGCATAGAAACAAAAACAAAGTGAATCAGTTTCATATGCAGGTTGGATAACTTACTGTAACAAGTTTCACACCAGACATATTTGTGCCATGACAAAGACCAGTAGACATAGCACCACAACCGGAATACAAATCCAATAGCGTCATCTGAGACTCTACACATTCTTTAACTTCAGTTGATTTTGCTTTTTTATTGCTTTTCTCTACTACACCATCTGAGCTAGCATCGCCTGAAATTACTGATGACTCATCGCTCTCTGTGATGCTCTTTTCTGCAACTCAAAGCAAACTAAATTTAATCAGATGCACGTAAATTTCTATGTAATCCTAATAGAAGATACCAATGTCTCACCTGTAAACTAGACAACAATTTTCACTATTATATAAATATTATGTGTACAACTGTACTATATGTGGTCTTATAGAGATATGAAATAAAGTAGCTGGTTGTCAAGGTATTGACCTGTGTGTAGTGTCGTGAATGTAACTGGCATCGAATATTTCATATCATAGTAAAGATCAAATGATGAGAGTGCCTTCTCTTTTTCAGCCAAGTCAACCTGTTATAAGAAGTCAATTAGAATTAAACCATTGACAGCCAAGATGTTCATTATCTAGACATAGAAGTTCATGCGTACACAGACTTCTGTAGAAAAAGCAATATGATAACAAGTAGGTAAGAGGTATACATACATTTGGAGAAAGTTGAACAATTTTGACTTTTGACACAATGCTATCTAGGGGATTGTCATCTTTCATATCAGAATAAAACACTCGTCTCTTGTCAATAAGATGAGCTTGGCTTTTAATTACCTGAAAAAACAATATATGTAACAGTTTGTCTGCACTAACTAACGTTCACTGTAGATCACAAACAAAAAATATATGACATATATCAAGCCCTTGGCAAGTATCTCACAGTATCTTCTGCTCTAAAAAACCATTGAGCTGAACAATACAATTCTCTATCAACAGTTTCAAACATCTCCACAATCCTGGCAATAAAATCTGGCTTCCCTTCTTCAGCCTGATACAATCATGCAAACACGAAATATAAGTGTCAAGAAACAAGCTAAAAGATCATAACTTGAAATTTCTTCCATCAATCACCTGTGACATAATACAATAAAATGAACTTAAAACTCAATCATTAAGAAGGATTAAAGATGTAAACAATCTAAGTTCACAGTCCAGTTTTTTGACCTGATATTACATTTCCATTATAACAATATAGTTATTTGGTTTCTTCTGTATTTGTTCCACAACAACTGTCTTATTTTTATGCTCAATCCAGATAAAGCAGAAAAAGGTTTTCCAGTATTCATGTGTTCAGATTAGTGTGCTAAAGCCCAAAATTTCTCTGAAAATGCTTCTAATCTCTGATAAACAAGGGTAATCTATTCCAAGTCTACATCGATTTACTGAAATAACCATTTTGCACGTTCAAGAAATGTGTGAACTTTTACAAACTTCTGCATTGGTTTTTTATACACTCGCATAAAAATATATAATTGCATACAAGCTACAAATAGTATTGAAAAAATAGAGAGAAAAGAGGAGGCTCACTTTGACAAATGCATCATCGTTAAGATCAAAAGCAATGCCATCAACAACAGCTTTGGTATAGTGACACTTAGCTTGAATGATCTCCTTGCCATCCAATTCACTGCCATTATATAAATTAATTAATAAATAACGCGTAGCTAAAGTAAGCACATTTCCAAGATAAGTGTCAAATTTGACTTTAAGTATTAAGTGAACTCTTTACCTGCATGTATGATATGATATTATGTTACTTACGCAGAAAATTAATGAATGCACCAACCATAACGAGTCTTGTGATAGAAAATTAACATTTAGTGATAGAAAACTCATTTCTTAATTTATGCTTGTTGGGGAAACGAATGACTCTATATAGAAATGAAAGAACATTTTAAGAGTGAAAATGAATGATCATTTTGGAAAACTGAATAACTATCTTTATGCATATAATACTCGTTACCTCCGCCCAATTTAGACACATCTAAACACATTAAAATTCACAACTGTAAGCACTTTTTAGAATTGATAGCAAAACCTTATCAACCATTGGAGTTTAATTTCTGTAGCATAGTGAATAGTATCCTGTTCCTTCCGTGTGAACGCAAAATATCAGAACCACATATCAATGTTGTCTTTTCTTGTTTAGGCTTACATTCCATTTTTTAGTGTATTTGCATTCATTTTTGTGTAACACACTTTGATAGACTCCAATTTATTCCGCATTTATGGTTGGGTTTGGTCTCACTTTTGCGTGATTATTGGTTGTGCAATTCATCTAAAGCGCAAGTAGAAGTTTAATATACAGACAAAACTCATTACACTGCTTTTTTAGTGATATACGCACAGATAATAGCACAAAAATGATAAAATCTCACCCGTTTGAAGAAGCTATAACCTTCACTTTGTTCTGCAATCGTCAATGGCACACCATTACATCTCATTAGTAGTTAAATAAGTATACAAATGCAACCATAAAAATGTGATTCTCCAAAAATGCACCTTGGATTCGTAACGATGAGGCCATTTTGCTCTAGCTTGATCAGCCGGAACTGGCTTTCCGATAAATCGGGCGTCATCATCAGCTGCGGCGGCGGCAGGAGAGGTCTTGGATTTCTTTGATGGAGGCGATGATTTTGAATCAGAAGATGGTACAGATGAATCGATGGCTTCCTCAGACTGCTTCAGATCTCTCTTTACTCGTTTCGCCATTTGAGCTTCTTCTCTCTAGATGATGATGATGGTAGCTAGAGATGCGATGAGAATGACGTTGCAATTACGGGAGGTTAAAGTAGAAGCTTGAAATTTTGGCGAACTGTTTGAAAGTATTTTGTGTTTTCAAAGGAGCGGGAAAGTCGTTTTGGGAAAAAAGAGTAAGGGAAAATAATTGGAAACAAAAATATTAATTTTGATTTATTTTTTGTTATTTCTAAAATAATTTTTATTTTTTGAATTAAAATATGTCATTTTTATAAATATATACTTTAAAATGATTGGGTTTCAATGATAAGAGAAAGAAACTCAACCACTAAAAATGGGAGTTATTCAGGTAAATGATCGTAATTGAGTTTTTTTATTAAATTCATGACCTTTTGACTGTATAAGGAAAAATGAATTTAATCTTATGGTGAAGGTTATGGATTTAATTAAAATTTCATTTAAGATCGTATACCTAAAAATGGTAGATTTATTGCACATTTAAAAAAAACAAACTTCAATCATACACTAAAAATGAAGGTATTCTCCTCTACAATACTAAAAATTACAGAGGTTTTTAAAGTTTACCTTTATGTTTGGAAGTTGATAAAGTTTGCTTCTGTAAATGATATATATTAATATAATATTTAAGTTTTTATGATTATATGTATATAATATTAAAGGGTTGTTTGGAAGTTGTTGAATGGTTTGGTACAAAATGATTAAGAGATTCTCATGATATACTGCAAAATGAAATATAATTGTTTGGTAATTGTTTACAATGAAATTATGGAGCTAAATGATTAAGGGATACACGTGATATAAACTCATTCAAGGGGTTTTAAAATCATTAAGATTTAAGAGGCAAGTTTTTTCTGTCAAACAAAATTCAATTTTTAGCGATTCAAAAATTGTCTCTTATGTTTGGGATAAAAAAATTAAAGAAAAATATACAATATTTTCTCTTTTATGTTCGTTTTCTTCCCTACTAAAAAAAGTGAGGGAGAGCACGTGGTTTTGTTGTTTCCCTCTTATCTCCGCTTTCAATATTAAGGGGATATTTGGGATTGCTTATTTAAAATAATTTATGTTTTTTATAAAAACACTTGTTAATATATCATAAGTTATAAGGGTTTAATTTTTTCAGAAACTCCTTATTATCGGTTTGACATTGGTATATGTTATTTATCAAAACACTAAAAAGTATTTATTATCGGTGTCACACCGAAATACGTCAATAAATTATTTTTATAAGCAATCTTAAACATCCCCTAATTATCTTCTATTTTAGACGTGAATTATACTCAAATGATACAAATATGATATTTTGTTATAAAAAAAGGAAAATTGCATCAAAATGGAACCAACTTTCAAAATCTTCATTTAGGAGTCTCTATCAAACTTTTTGTTTATTTAAGGGTCTGGTTGATTTGTTGAACAAATAACAGTTAATTTAAGGGTCTCTATCAAACTTTTGGTTTGATTTGCCAAATTTGATTTAAACTTTAATATTGTTACGTATTGGTTAGATATAAAAACCTTGAATGTGATATTTAATATTTATTTTTTATTGTAGCAATTAATTTTTTCTATTAAATTGATTTTTTTATTGCATTAGTAAAAAACAACTTTTATTGTGATAATTTGGATTTTTTTTTTTAAATCTTCAATTTGATATCTGAATTTAAAAAAAAAAAACAAGATTTGAAATGAAAAATAGATTTTATTGCATTATTTTTTGAAAAAAAAAACGAATTTTAGTTATTTTTCTATAATTATTTTGCAATCTTAAATGTGACATGAAATATTAGTTTTAAAATAAACAATTAATATGACGTGAAATATCTTAGTTGGCAAAAAAATCTGGATAATATCAGCATTAACGGGTCAATCAAACATTTAAATAAACAAAAAGTTTGATAGAGACTCTTAAATGACGATTTTAAAAGTTGATTTCCCAAAATAAAAATTAAGTGAAAATTGGTTTCATTTTGGTGTAATTTTCGCCATAAAAAACAAATCAACAAACAATAGGTTGGAAAATAATGGCATTTGATACGTTCATAAAATTTCGTGCAATGCTTGTTGCATGCAATTATGTTCATTCATGTACCTTTATATATTGGTTGTTGCATATACCGGTACAACCATAGTTTTTTTAAGGATGATAAAAAAAAACCGAAACTGATGGTGAAAATCGAAAACTATAAATTTTCGGGACAGGTTGGAGATCAATGACATATTCGGGGATTTTATAGGGGACGGTGATCACCGGCCCGGCCGGTATGTGTATATATATTAATTTTAATATATATACATGTATATATATAACTAAAAGAAAATACTAACATCAAAATATAAAAGACCTTTTATTCAATTTACTTCAACATCCCACATAAGGCTTACAAAAAAATCTAGTTTATTTTATCTAATCGTGAAACCGTGATGTTAGTTGTTTGATGTTTAAATTTTTGTCTACCTTTATATAGTAATATAAGATGTTGTTTATAATTGGTTTAATTATGTTTGAGACATTTAGACTTTACATATTAAAAAAAAAACATTGTAATTACTTTTAGTTGTGAAAAATAACGTATTGTAATTTTTATCGGATCGGTTCAGGTTTCGGGTATAACCAACGGTTGCCGGGGAACCAACAGGGAAAAAATGATTTTTACTCTTAACGGGTTCTCCAACGGGAATCAGGAAAACCGTAGGGACCCGACGGGGATCGGGACGTTTACAAGGACGGTATTCATTATCGGTTTAGGGGACGGGAATAACAATATCCGACCTGTTGCCATTCCTACCTATTGTACCGTTTATGGTAAACTTAAACATTCATTGGTTGGAGCCTCACGCAATTTTCATGTTCCCCGTACACGCTTTCTTTTAGGGGAGAGGCATACGAGGAGTGTTTCGAAAGGGGTTTTATATAGACGTTGGTTTTAATGAGGGATGTTATGGAAAAAGCTTAGGCACGTTTAAAAGACATGTATACACAAATGTCAATCGATGAGTTATTGAGTGGCGGTGCTTAATGAAGTTCCATTAATTTGTTGTAGTTGGTGGTACTTGACGGTAGCCCATTACATTCCATTAATTTGTATACCTTACTTTCTTTCACCTTTCCTTGTATCAATAACTCCATTAAAATGCACTATCAGCGAACAAAATGTCAATTATGCTTAATATCGTTAGTTTAATGTCTTAATCATTACCTTTATCGGAGTAATTATTTATTTGCCAAAATCATCACCATACATGGCTATAGATAAGAGGTGCTGAATAAATTAATAGGTTCATTACTATGACCTTTAAGATAACCCATTTAGGTGAATTTTATGTACGACTGTTTTTAAAAGCATAATAAAACTCGTCAATCAAACAGAAGTATTCTTAAAAGGTCGGAGAGTTTAAACAATGTTGTGAGGGAGCGGTGGGAGGTTTAAAGCAGGCAGAGCAAAGTTAGCACGAGATCATAAGCAAGGATCAATGGTCTAAAAAACACAACAAAAACATTAACGGTGGGTAAAGAGCATGAGGATGAGAAGTACAATTATTGGAGTAATCAACGTCCACATAAGTATTAACCTAATACGCTTATAATTCACAATTTCATATATTATCCACGCTCCAACAATATATAGCATTATTGAACTGACTATTTACTGTTTAAGATCTCTTGTTGATCTCCGACCCTCTTCTCTTTTGTAGACCTTGTAAAATTGTCCAACGTTAATCGACTACACATTAAATCGAAATCCTTAACCCTGTTCGCCATATATAGAGTTCCATCAAACATAGATCAAAGATTACGAACTCTATTAACAAAAACTAATGTTCATTCATCAATATTGACGCTCCAAACAACACACAAAATTTGTCTAAGAATCGAGGCACTTTTTCTCGGGTGCCCAACATAGGTAAGACGATCAACTCTTTTTCACTGACCTCATTGTAATTGCTACCGACACATTAAACATTCAAAATCAATTTGAGTATATATGAAACACTACCAAGGGGCCGTTTACTAAATGCTTACCCGGTAAGTACATACTGGGTAGTTGTCCTCACCGGATAGGGCCAATAATCTTACTCGGTAAGAACGATGATAAGGATATAGAGTATTACCTGATAAGTGAGGGTGACAACTCTTAATAAATTGTTACATATGATACGTTTTGATGTACTATAAGCTTGCCTAATAAAATAAATAAATTCAAATAAATGATAACGAACCTATTTTCTTTAAATAACACGATCTAATATAAAAAAAACTGGTTTGACCATTGGGAATTTCGTTGCGTTCTGTAAGACACTGAGATTAGTCGAGGTGTCTGGAAACTGAACCGGATGAATTGAAAAAAAATAAAAAATTGAGGGGTTCTCTTATTACTATCGAACTTGGTTATAGTGGCTCAACTAAACGAGGCAAATCAATTGGTTTTGGATGCATCGGGAACCGGAAACGGACCGGCGCCGGCGGCTCCGCGAGGTGGCGAAAACCCTAGAAATTTCTGCAAATTCGTTCTGATACTAATCGAACACAAGAAATACAAAAACGCCATTGAACAATCCGTCGGATCGTCGCCCTGTAAACCTCTATGGCTCATCTTCTGAACAATCCTTAACGGTATAAATGGCAGCTTTGCAACCGCTTTCCCTTCGTACAAGCTATTCAGGAATCCAAAGACAGCAAAGAGAATCAGTGCAACGACGGCGCCGGATTTGAATTTGAAGAGAGATAAATCTCGGCTGGACTCTTTGAGTGAGGTTTCGACTCGATCGATCTTTTTCGTTTTGGATTTCCTGAGAGCGGTGGAATCGGTTTTCATGGTTTCGAGTTTTTTAGAGGCTTTATCGATGGTGGATTTGAGAGATTTGTAAGAGGTGCGGCGGTAGATCAAGAGCCATGAAATCGCTTCGCAGACAATGGCGGTGAAGAAAGAGATTCCGGCGATGGTTAGGCTATCGGAATACTTGAAGGTGGAGAAGAAAGATGTTGCCATTGTTGACGAAGAATATGCGGGGCAGTTGCATGCGGAGGAGAAATACAGGGGATGAAAAGGGGAAGTGTTATAATTCGACTGCGACGCTTTATTTATTGCTAACGACAAAATCAAAGTTGTTAAGATTCTTCAAAAAGTTAGAATAGATTTTTGCTATTTATTCTATTTTATTTTATGGAAATTTATAAAAATAATCATTTTATACAACATTTTGTCATAAAATAATCGGGTTTTAGAGGTTTTGCGTATTTGACCACCCAGATCTCCTCAAAGGGTGATCCGTACTTTTTTTTGGGGAGATCCGTACATTTGAATTTAAAAAAAAATCTTAAAAGAAAATTATTGTTCACCTCGAAGACTGGGTTTGACCTCGCCCTATGGTGCGATCCAGGTTGTCCCATCGCCCCCAGGGGCGATCCAGCCTTTTATTATTATTATTTTATTTTTTTGGTATTTTTTAATAAAACTGATAAGCCATTTAAGTTGTGTTTCTTAACTTTTTTAGAACCAAAATTCATAGGTAAATGTTTAAAAATAAACCATTATAATTATGGAGACGCAAAAATTATTGTTATCTGTTTTGGGTTTTGTATATCAGATATAAACCCGTAAAACCTCTAAAACCCGGTTATTTTGTAGCAAAAGGTTGTATAAAATGGTATTTTTAATAAAACTGATACGCCATTTAAGTTGTGTTTTTTTTACTTTTTTAGAACCAAAATTCATGGGTAAAGGTTTAAAAATAAACCATTATAATTATGGAGACGCAATTTTTTTTATTTGGTTTGGGTTTCTTAAATCAGATATAAACCCGTAAAACCTCTAAAACCCAATTATTTTGTGGCAAAAAGTTGTATAAAATGGTATTTTTTATAAAACTGATACGCCATTTAAGTTGTGTTTTTTAATTTTTTTAGAACCAATATTCATGGGTAAAGGTTTAAAAATAAACCATTATAATTATGGAGACTCAAAATTTTTTGGTTTATTTTTAAACCTTTACCCATGAATTTTGATTCTAAAAAAGTTAAAAAAACAAACTTAAATAGCGTATCAGTTTTATTAAAAATACAAAAAAAAAAATTCAAAAAATCAAAAAATGGATCGCCCCCTAGGGCGAGGTCAAACCCAGTCTTCGAGGTGAACAGTTTTTTTTTTTAATTCAAATGTACGGATCTCCCCAAAAAAAAGTACGGATCGCCCTTTGGGGAGATCTGGGTGGTCAAATACGCAAAACCTCTAAAACTCGGTTATTTTATGGCAAAGAGTTCTATAAAATGGTTATTTTTATAAATTTCTCTTTGTTTTATGGACTAATTTATCTTTAAATTTAAAATAATTATATAAGTACATTTTTTAAATTCTTTAAATTATAAAATCTATACTATATTATGGGGGTGTTTGGAATTACTTATAAGAATAATTTATTGACTTATTCTGTTGTGACACCGGTAATAACACTTTTAAGTGTTTGGATAAACAATTTATACTGATGCCAAACATGTAACAAAGAGTTTTTAAAGAAGTTAACTCTTATGACTTATAATAAGTTGATAAGTGCTTTTGTAGAAAAACATAAGTTGTTTCAAATAAGCAATCCCAAACACCCCCTATAAAACATTTGACAAAAATTATTAAAACCATTTTATGCATAAAATATTATATATTGATACATATTACTTAAAATTCAAATTTACAAGTAAATTATGCATAAATACAACTTATTAAAGCTTCATGTTTGAATTCGTGTAACTAATTGAGGATAAACATAATTAAATAGAGGATAAAAATCTTATTTTAAATTATAAAAAATATAAAATATAATTAGGATAATTATCAAGTTCTAACAAAATAATTAATTATTATTTTTATAAGAAATTTATATTATTAAACCAAATATAAATTACTTC